AGCTCTTAAAAATACATTGAACGCGGCATTTGAAAAGTGGTCAAAGGTAACCAAGCTGAAATTTCGATACGTGGACAGTGCGGACGCTGAAATTCAAGTGGTGTTTGGAAGGTATGTGTATTTCATCAGTTTACATCTAATTTGAGAAATTCCTTGATCAAATCAATCAAATAAATTGAGAATAATGCAATGTGGGAACATTTTCATTTACAGCGACGAAATAAACTGCGAAAATGGCAAAAAATTAACATATTCCAATGATAAACAATTTGGATGCGCATTCCTACCGGGAGACATCAAAAATGGCGGTGATGTGTACTTCTATGAGGCAAATTGGAGGCCAGAAAATGATAGCAGTGGAAGACCACTACTACCAGCAGCAGTATACGCGGTATGTACTTTCTACGCTTTTTACTTTTTGACCACTTTTTTGTAAATCATGTTGAAATCTAGCTAACGTTGATCATTCCAAATGTGCCTTGATCATTCAATTTCATTTTTGTTTATTTGAGCTTTTCTTCTTTTTAACTACAGTTCGGATATGCAATCGGATTAAAAAATGCAACGTTTGACAAGAATGGCGAAATATCGGCGTCGGAAATAAATGAAGTGCAGAAAATTTACAATCCATTCCGTGCAAAGCCTTGGACAATGTTGACAAATTAAAAGGCCTCATTTCACTGAAAATGGAGAGTCAATTGAAAAAGAAATACTTTTAAGAAGACAGGGACATTTTAAACTGAATTGCCCATTTTTATAGCGCGAAATATAAACAAATATCATATTTTCGTGAGATAAATTTGCATACCGTATAACACAAAAAATAGTTTTGCTTTTCGTTTGTAATATCCCATAAAATGCATCCGCGGTAGAAAATAGGCACTTGTGCTTATTCTGGCGCTTATCGGAGTAAATCTATTAACACATTTTTCTCTTATGGAAAAATATACACAGAGTCTTCTTCTTCTTTGTTCCAAACGCAATACCGAATCTAGTAGCCGCGGCTTCTTCATTGTGTTTGTTCTATAATGCACACGCTCTGGATATTGCGAATGGTTAGAAGAAGCGTGTGCGTTAGCGTACTCCGTGTATATTTTTCCATAAAAATATGTTTATAGATTTAATTCAGCAAGTGCAGGAATAAGCACAAGCTTTTAATTCTAAACACGGATGTATTTTACGGGATTTCTCAATTCTCAATATTTGATTGATTAAATTAGAATTTTAAAATTCAAAAAAACAATTAAATTTTCTTGTGACAATAAAGAGATGTTTTGGCATTTAATTTAACAAGTTTAATTATTTGGCGATAGAATACTCTTTTGCATGCTCTCGTGCTTGTGACTTTTTGATTAGAATATTTCTCAATTTTGGGAGTATTATTTCATACATTCACAATAAGAACACACAAATTGCTTGACGTCACAAAACTGATAACAACGTCAGATAGCTGATCACAGCACACGACACACACAAATCATAAAAATGTTGCGGCACAGTTTTTTTTTTGTTTGAGCCAGCAATACCAAACGCGACGAAACGTGATATTGTGCACTTGAAATGTTTGTAAACAAACGCTATCGTTAATTTACCGGCTTTTCAGAATGAGATAACGAGCGAACGCGAATTCATTCATTTATTCGAGTTTCTTGACAATATACATATACACTAAATAGCGATGTGTAAATCAACAATTTTTTCTTTCAAGAATATCATTGATAGTAATTATAGTACTCTGCCTTATCTCTCACTCTGTGCCGTTGATTCCTGTAAAAGAAATTCATTTTTTGAAAAGAGACTCTAATTGCCGTCGTTACAGTATTGCAATTTATTTAGTCGAACCGAAAGAGTGATTCGAATAATTCAATTACAATATTTACCAGAATAAGTTGTGTTATTATTAGAATTCATTTTTATTACCAATTCATAATAGGATGTTTGACGTCACAACAGCTGATAAACACAATTGGTTGAATGATGAAATTATTTTTTCTTCAAACATTCCAAGCTGCCATAAGAATACTTCATGCTTCAACCATGCTCTTTTTGAGTCATAATACTTACTTAGTCATCATTATCAAGAGATGGATTATGTCTGTTACGCACAAGCCTTGCGAAATAGTATTCAATCACCAAATAATTCAATTTCTCAAATTATGTAATTGAGAATATCTCTTTATTGTCACAACCAAATCGAATAAATATATGATTACACAGTCGTTACTCATTAAATTTAAAACTAATCATTATGGCACACAGCTTATACTTGATTTTAATTCTAAAATGTTTAAATTATGAAATTCAAAATCTATCAATTATTGAAAAATATTAAAAACAAAATACAAAATGATATAACATTAAGTATTTATGCCAGATTAATTATCTCATCAAAATATGGTCTTTGTTTATATTTCGCCCTATTAAATACGCAGTTCAGTCCGAAGTATCCCTGTCACCTTAAAATTAATTCTTTTTCAATTTACTCTATTTACAACATTTTCAGTCGAATGTGTATATTACTTTTTAATTTGTCAACATTGTCCAAGGCTTTGCACGGTGTGGATTGTAAATTTTCTGCACTTCATTTATTTCCGACGCCGATATTTCGCCATTCTTGTCAAACGTTGCATTTTTTAATCCGATTGCATATCCGAACTGTAGTTAAAAAGAAGAAAAGCTCAAATAAACAAAAATGAAATTGAATGATCAAGGCACATTTGGAATGATCAACGTTAGCTAGATTTCAACATGATTTACAAAAAAGTGGTCAAAAAGTAAAAAGCGTAGAAAGTACATACCGCGTATACTGCTGCTGGTAGTAGTGGTCTTCCACTGCTATCATTTTCTGGCCTCCAATTTGCCTCATAGAAGTACACATCACCGCCATTTTTGATGTCTCCCGGTAGGAATGCGCATCCAAATTGTTTATCATTGGAATATGTTAATTTTTTGCCATTTTCGCAGTTTATTTCGTCGCTGTAAATGAAAATGTTCCCACATTGCATTATTCTCAATTGATTTGAATGATTTGATCAAGGAATTTCTCAAATTAGATGTAAACTGATGAAATACACATACCTTCCAAACACCACTTGAATTTCAGCGTCCGCACTGTCCACGTATCGAAATTTCAGCTTGGTTACCTTTGACCACTTTTCAAATGCCGCGTTCAATGTATTTTTAAGAGCTGCCATATCACTTTCAGTTTTCGTGGATTTATTTATGAGTCTAAACAAAGACGAAAGAAAACGTTTAAATATCGATCTTGATCACTCGTGAAATGAAGCGGTCAAATCTCACCTCCAATTGAGGATTTTATTTTGGAATCGATTGTTCATCAATGCACAAAATTCAGGGTCCAATTCACCTGTTTTTGTTAGTCCATGTTTTTCCTGTATAAGCTTTATCGTCCCTTCTGACAGCACATCGTTTTCGTGCACTGTGATATTGTTGAAGATGTCTGTATTATTGAATTCAATCACGTAATTCATCTATTTTGAGAAAAAAACCAAGATACACAAAAATACCAAATGAAGCATTGGAAAATCATTGAAAATAAATGCGAAATTGCAAAATGTTGGCGAAGAAAATTCATTTACCGTTTTTACTTTGCAATCACAGCGCATTATTTTATCTAATTTTGTTGACTGATTTGATGGAACTGGATTTGCACAAACTGTTGAAATAATCAGTAAACACAACAAAAATCCACCGAACAACATGTTTAATGAGTTTGATGCAATTGAATACAATTGAAATGACATTATGAAATATGATGCGCTTTTTTGTCTTTTAGAGATTTCTTTTATTCACTTTTCGTCTATTCTTTGCTTGAAAATATTTTAAAATCACACACAAAAACACTTAATCGTTAAGCGCAGCGAAAAGTGTTCAAAAATTCTCAATTGATGCTCTCAAGCACGCAGTAGAAAACGTTATGAATGAACCGAGGCGATGTGCTCCTTTTATATTTTTCGTTCTTATCAATTCGTAAAGTTAAGTAACGTGTGTTGCTTTTGCTTTACGTTTCGCTCTGTACAATTCGACTAAATGAATGGTTTTATAAAACATAGAAATTTTTCGAGGAAACTTTTTCTAATATTCACAATAAGAAAGAGGCAAGGAATTGTACATCACTTCAATCCTCTAAATAAGCTGTTTGTTTATTATAAAAATTATTCGTGTAAATTTTCACTTGTATATATATGAAAATATGCTAAACCTGAAACGATTGGGAGTAAATCCAGACACGATCTATATCTGAACCTATGTCTATTGTTGCTTTTTTTATTTCTAACAATCCGGTCGGGATTTTTCGATTGTTTACAAACATTTCAACGGTTCAAAAGCCGTATTCACGTGACGTGAATCAGGTCACACTTCATAATATTTAATATACTGTACAGGTGCACATACTGTAACTACACAGAATCAAAGGAAGCCGGCGTTTAAATCAAGCTATCTTTGAAAATATTTCGTAGAATCAATTTCGTCACAGTGATCTGAGTACGCTTTTATAAGAAATTTGATATGTGCTCTTATCGCAGCCCAAAATGACTTTCTATTTTGTGGTATCAGTTGTTGTTACATATATGTTTCTACTGTCTTATTATGGCAAAGTGTATTTATTTGCCAATTAAACTCGTTGTCAATACAAAAAGCAAAAAAAAAAACAAACAAATTGTGGGGGATTTTTGGCCAGATTAAAAAAAAACTCATTTCTCATAAATGCGGCCAAAACGGTAAACTCTAGTAAATTTGGAAATTCCAAATTGGAACACAACAATCAAAGTTGAATGCTTTTGCTAATTTCATGATGTAATTTCAAGTAACACATTAAATAACATCAATATAATTCACGAGATAATTTAAATTGGAGGCGTTTGCTGTTGTCTCTTTCTGAAGAGCCGGCAATTTCTTGTTTACAAA